TCTGGGATGGATCCCAGGTTCCCCACCCATTCACCTCCTGGCTACACAGACCCTGGGTGACCACACTGGCAAGGAAGATGGGCATGGTGAGTCTTGGTGATAAGCTCCAGCCTGTCTCCAAAAGGAACAGACTGGTGCCAGGACCATCCTGCCTGTGTTCAAGGCCTCAAACAATGGGAGACCTTGTGGGCTTCACACCACAGTTACAAAGTGTCCTTTCCTATCAGCTCGCCTGGACAACAACTCTCTCCCCAAAGTCTCAGCGACTCCACTCCCAACCTCCAAGACCAGGACAATAGACATTCATGGACTGTACCTTTGTACTTCCTGAGTTCATCAAACATGAAAACATTAGCATGCACAGGGTTTCTTTTTCTTTGCTTTATTGTTGTTGTTGTTAAGTGCCATTGTCCAGTCAGTTCCGACCCATAGTGACCCGATATAGGGTTTCCAAGGAGCAGCTGGTGAGTTTGAATCACTGACTTTGCGGTTCAAACTGACTCTGCAGTCCAGTGCATTAATCCGCAGTGCCACACCAGCACTCCCTGCTTTATAAGTAAAGATTTACACCCTCGGAAACCCTGTACAGGGTCGCTATGGGTCGGAACCGACTCGAAGGCACTTAACAACAACAACATAATCACTTACACAACAAAGAGTACATTATTGTATGCTTGAGTTGGAACTAACTGCAGGACACTTAACAATTACTACTATAAGACCACCATCTAAATACAAATCCAGTTACCCTCCCACCAGGGTACCTGTTTTCTGTGCTGTTAACATAAAACTCCCTGGAGACTGGACTGGGGAATCCTGGGATACTTTCTGAAGATGCTCAGATTGCACAGAGCTTCTCTTAACAGGACTCACTTCTTTGACAGCTCTCAGCAATGTTTTCGTTTTAAGACTTTTGAAGACTGTCTTTCTATGTGGGAACCCACTTTGGTAAGTTCACAGGAACCAGCACAACAGCCCTGTGCTCAATCAGTCAATGTCGAGATAAAAGGGGAGGGCACGTGGCACCCAGAAGCCCACTCCCCCATCACTCACTCACCGGGAAACCAGCTGCCACTTCAGCTTTGAGTGGGAATTGCTTCTTGAGTTGTTCCTAAAATAAAAGCCATAAACAGCTTGGGGAGACTTTCATCAGGCAGAACAGAGGAAATAGACAGAAAAGGTAAGAAAAGTTAGTGAGATTATCCAGTCCTCCCCCACCAGTTTTTGGATGAGGAAAGAGGCCCAGAGAGGCTGCATGACTTGGTTAAAGCCACCTAGACAATGCAGTGGCAGAACGTGGCTCAGAGCCTGGCATTCTAACTCCTGGCTGTGAGGCTCATCTAGGATTCCCACTGGGAGTTCCTCAATCTGCCTTTCTTCAATCTTAGTGGTTTTGCACAACGGATCTTGACAAGGGTTATTTGGATGGTAACTCCCAACCACTTGACACATGCTGCTCTCGGTCTTAATGCCTGCACTCTCTCCTTATCCTTCAAGACCCAAAATGACTGCCGCCTGCTCTCAGGTCCTCTGGCCCTGACCTTGTCCCAGCACTCAGCACATGCTGGGGGTTACTGGTCCCCGATGAACCAAGACTTCTCCAGTGCAGACATGTATCACCTCTGGCTTTACAAATGGAGCTCAGAAGGGGGCTGTGGACACAAACCCACCTAGAGAACGCATGTGTCATTCTTCCCCAGCTCCTAGCTCCCAGTCTGGAGTCAAGAAGGGGTTGTTGCTATTGAAGGACTTTTGCTATGTGAGGGGATTCTAACTCTGGAGCCCAGAGCTTTTGACAGACCCACCTGGGGCTGCCAAACAGGTCAGGCTGACATTCGAGTGTGTACACTCGCCTGTGTACAGGGCTCCAGTGCTACAAAGCACTTTCAACATCCTTATTCGAGTGAACTTTGACACTGTTCTTCAATGTTCCTTCTGAGAGGCCTACTCGTGTGCCAAAAGGACTGCTCTCAAGTCTGGCTGATCTAGGTATCTGGTGAAGAAATAGCAAAGAACTTCTGTGGTCTGTTTAAATGAGTGAACAAATACTTCATCTGCAGGACCTAGGGGAGAACTAGATATAACGAGGAAACACCTGTGTATGAGCAGAGGTTGAAGAACTGGCCTACATTCACAGAGTGAGTTCATGTTAACGGGCAACTTGAGGGGTCTTAGAAAGGAACACATGAAACATTGGATTGTGGCATTTCATTATCTCTAGTTTAATTTGCTTGTTTACACACACGGTTTGTGTGTACTAACAGTGGCAAGAGCCGCTCTCCAAATACAATCTGGTACAGAGACTATGACAGATGCACATGGGAAATGAGGCCAGTGGATGAACCTTAACACGGAGACAGAACAAGGATGGCAGTGTTCTGGGATCACATACACCCACAGAGCCTCTTGTTCAGCACCTGGGGACAACAGACACATTACAAAATACCAGGTATTTCAACAGAAGACCCAGACCCCAACTGGCACCCAAAAGAAGGTTCATTTTCCCTGTCTTCTCTGGAGGAACATAATGTTCAAAAGGCTTAGATAAGAAACGGAGTTGGGTGGGCTAGGAAGATTATGATAAGCATTGGATTGCAAACCACAAGGTCAGTGGTTTGACCCCACCAGCGGCTCCAGTGGAGAAAGATGAGGCTTTCTGCTTCCGCAAGATTTAAAGACTTGGAAAACCTACACAGGGTCGCTGTGAGTTGGGAACCAACTGGACAGCCCTTAACAACAACAAAACACACAGGGCAGATGACTAATCAAAACAGCAGTATCAGCTCCACATCACAAATGCAGAGAGTAAATAACATGCCCCTGGGCATAAAGCTGTACGTGTAGTGCCAAGATTTGAACCCAGTCTCATATTTGCTTAGGCCCAAACTCTGCCCCCTACACTGTACTATCTGATACAGGGATAGAGAGCATGCTCCCCAAAGAGGCAAGGGTGCTAAGAATGAACCAGAACTAGCGGAAGACTAGTCATTCAAGAAGGCACGGATCTTGGACTTGTGGTGACCAACACTTGTCACTCGGTATTATTGCTGAGCCTGAGTCAGACCCACGTGAGAAGAACGCCTGGAGATCTGAATGTCACAAATGAACTTCCCAGTGGCTCTGTGCCTGCTGTCTTTTAGTGCGGAACAGAAAATGCTGTCCTGAGATTTTAATCCCTTTAATAAGTACCCAACCACCCCGGGTTTCTGGACGTAAACTCCAGAGGGCACACGTTTCTCTCACCAATGCTCCCAAAGCACCTTGGCAATACCTCCCATATCTTGTGGCCAACGTCTCTCCTACTTTTGGGGACAACACATCGTGTCTCATGATTTAATGAACACAAGTTAACCTGCAGTTCAACAGCACAGGAAATACATATTTTAACGACATCTTTATATAAAATAAAAGAGACTCTGAAAAATGTCCTGGCCGTCAGCTCTTAACAGCCTAAGCTTCGGTCAAGTGTAGTGCTTATCAGTTAATGCAATGATCTGGTTGGAGGACTGGGGGTGGATGGGTGGGCATTAGAGCAGCTTCAAGGGTGATGATCTAAAATGCAAGGCAGTTGGTTTTGAGAGACAGACGTAGGAGAGTCTGGGTGAGGGAGAGGGGTGGTCTTATCAGAGCCTGTAGCTTTTGTAGTATGGTGGTGGGTAGATTGCTAACTCTTCCCAGCACTCTTGGAGTGAAAGCCACAGAATGTTAAGGTTGCCAAGAGAAGTGTTGGGTGGGTGGAGGTGGGGGTGGGAGGTGGTCAATTTCAAGGCCAGTTCAAGAGGCCCAGGTTTGGTTTTGTTGGTGCAATCAGAGGAGGGTGGGGCTAGTCACACCTCCGTTGAATACGGAGAGTACTTCTGAGGTTAGATTGGCTTCTTGCCATCTGAGGCAACGGGAGACATTTTACTTTTGAATGATCATAAACTTGTTCGCAGTGGAAAGTGCCCTGGGCCACACAGACGGACCAATGGCCTTACTGTATGACTGAAGAACTGCTCAGTCAGACCCAATGACTCTGGGTCAGGACCGCTGCGGTGCACACGGGCATTCTGCACAACTACCCTGACCCGGCTTCAAATTCAGCATGTGACTACATCACCTGCTTTCCTGTTTGATTATTCAGAGAAAGCAGCCCTGTGAGGGGGCATTAAATCCCACAAGCCAAGAATTTGGTTTATGAAAAGAAAATTAGTGTTCTAAACATACACACACACAGACAACACTCAGAACTATCTACACATATGTCAAGGTGCAGTGGCACTGGCGTGTTGCATTATTTTCCATTTTATCAACAAAGAACTACGGTCACAGTTATTACTGAAACCTATAAAGCATTCGCTCAAAAAAGAAGAAAACACGGTAACCTTACTGCTTCAAAAACCAACATACATGAATAGAAGAGCATTAATGTTCATGACGTGGAAAGCCCACAACATGAAGTCACAGGGCACTCCAGCTCAACAGGCCTGTTTTGGTAGCGAGTCACCAACCAGTTGTGATATTCAACATTTCACGAACAAATACTAGAGCCACACAGTGTGGTTCAGGCGGTTGGTGGTTTTCTAAAGAACCCTGCCTGGAATAAATGCTTGCGCAAAATAGACCAGTGGGAAATATTTTGAATTAACACTGCGAACAGCCATTAAAAGCAAAAGACAACTAGAATCAGGAAGATGGCAGCAGATGAGAGTCCTCAGGCCCCTGGCCTCCCCTCAGCCTCAAAATGGAAGCTTTCCCGTCTTCTGTCTTTTCACTGAGCTGTGGCTCTGCCCTCTTGAGACAATGCGGGGCATTCCAGACTGAGATCAAGTCCAGCCAGGGACACAAAGTGCCTGGCTGGAGTGGTGGTGCTTGTGACATCAGGGAACGTTGCCAAGTCTAGTCTAGGGACAAAAGTTCCTTCCCAGACTCCTCCACCACACACCAAAGCTGCCCAGTCGGCTTCCTCTCTGCAGGCGGGGCGGTAGTTTCGCTAACTAAGACACATGAAGAAGGTACTAGCCATTGTCCTGCTGCTGTCCCTTTGGTATCTTTTATTTCTTGTAACTGTCTTGCTTCAAACTTAAACTAGAGCTCTGAGGAGGAAGTCCTGGGGAAAAGGATTTCAAATACCAAAATCCGTATGTCCCATACCAGCCCAGCAGACCAAACAGGGTCCCGAACACTTTTTGGGAAAAGTCATGAAAATAGACAGCTGTGCACAGAAACATCAACACCCAGATGCAGGTCAGGGTGCCCAGGGCGATGACCAGGGTGGTGATGGTGGTGTGGAGGGGGTGGCTTCGGTCCGTCTTCACTTCATGCAGCACGGCCATCTCCTCCACAATCATGAGGACACAGAAGCTCAGCAGGAAAGCATGGCCTGAGATGTCAAAGCCGTGCCAGAACCCTCCCTCCCTGTGGCACTGCTGCTTGCTCTGAGGCTCCTTCCTGACCTTTTCCAGGGCTGGCGAATGGTAGCAGCTGCCCGTGTAGTGCTCGATGCTGGAGAAGAGGGTCGTGCAGACATACCAGATGGCCGTGCCCACTAACAGGGTGGTCAGCCGCCGCAGGACCAGCCCTGTCTTGCCCGTCAGGTGGTAATTAGTGAGGACAATGAAAGGCAGGAGGAGACAGAAGGTCCAAGTCCAGGCTTCTTTGACAAAATACCTAGCAGAAGAGAAAAGTGCAAGTGAAGGCAGGACACGGAGGAAGGGACTCAAGGCCACAGTCTGATCTCTAGATTCCAAAACTTGGAGAGAGGAGAGAACTGGACAAAAGCTACAGGGCATGACAGCAATTACATTCGGAGCATCTACCATTTGCCTCGTATACTACATACTTTTGTTGTACTAAGGATTTAATTTTTAAACAGCCCTCTGAGGTATACCCATTTTACAGATAAAAAGGAACTCTGGAGTCACAGTGGTGCTTGTCTGCTAACTCAAAGGTCAGAACCACCAGCAGCTCAGGCAGTCTGTTCCTGTCAAGACGACAGCTTTGGGAACTCTAGGGGAAAGGTCTACACAGTAGCGCTCTGAATCTGAGTAAACTTAACAGGCTTTACAAACAAATGGAAGCACGGAGAAGAGTCATGCCCAAGGTAGAGGCGGCAAGTGGTGGTGCTGCGATGTGAATCCAGGGTCAGCGATCTGAAGCATTATGTTATTTGTTCAGGAAAGTAGCAAGAATTGAACACCTACCAAATGCCAGGCGCTTTCACACACGTTTGCTTTTCCATACTCTAGGAGGTATGTATTGATAAGAAATCTAAGGCGCAGACAAAACCCGGTAACTTGTCTTCCCACAGTGACACTCACACAACCAATGAGCACAGATGAAACCAGGTTTGATCAGTCCAAAGTCCACGCTCCTGCTAAAACCTCATCTTTCCATTGCACGGCTCTTTCCTAAAAGGCAGGCATGGTCTTGGAATCATTCAACTCATTACACAGAAATTGGCAGAGAAGCTCAATGACCCAGTTTCAAATCCTGACTCTGATCTAACTTGATATTAAACCTCTCAGAGTTTTACTTTTTTCAGCTGCTAATACAGCTAAGGAGACAGAACGAGTTTCCTTTTCTTTTTCTTTACGCTGAGATTATACTCAGCAATGTATACGCCAATTCAAGTTTCCACATGTACACTGATTACAATCTTGGGGTTGAGCAACCATTCCTACCCTTATTTTCTGAGTTGTTTCTTGCTTATTAACAAACTCAATGACCCCAAAGGTTCCTATCTAACTGAGTTGCTGTTGTCAATTTGATTACATATTGTTGTTCTATGTGCTGATAGTCAGGTCCGACTCACAGCAATCCTGTGTAGGGTTTTCGAGGAGCGGCTGGTGGGTTTGAACCATCTAGATAGTTCTTAAAGAGCACAGTACTCAAGGCAAACCATTTTTTACTAGTTAAGCTAATCTGTTTGGTTTTAAGCAGACTTTACAAGATAATTTTTGGTTTAAGGTTTAAAGATTACCTCAGGGCAATAATCTTTGGGGTTCATTCAGCCTCTATGGCTCCAGAAAGTCTGGAGTCTGTGAGAATTTAAAATTCTATTTTGTAATTTTCCCCTTTTGATCACAGGAGTCTTCTATCTTTGATTAAAATATTCAATAAAAGTAGCTGGACACCACCCAGTTCTTCTGTAAAGCAGCAGCTATTCATGGAGGCAATTAACCACACATTCCAATGGTGGTAATGTGCGGAGGAGTCGGTTCCAACTCATAACGACCCCACATAGAATTTCCGAGGCTGTAAATCTTTACGGGAACAGAAAGCCTCATCCTTCTCCTGAGGAATGGCTGGCAGTTTGCCTTACCCTATTCCTGATTCTCTTCCTCTACTATTCCTGTGAATAACAGGAACTGTTTCTTAGCAGCAGCCTGCAGGCTTTTAAGACCCCATGCACTATGCAACAAACCAGGAGGTAGAACAGAAGCACTAAACGTGGTATTAGGCCAACGAACTGGATATCCCATTGAATCATGATCCTAAACCTCCAAACCAAGGAAGCAAATCCCAGGAGGAGTCTGGTTGGAGCAGCCCCAGCAGCTACCCTAAATATATCACACAAGGATCCAAATAATTTCTAAGGTCCCTTCCAGGTCCAATGATTCACTAGTTCCCTTCAGTAACTGACACAGAGGCTTGGAACAAAAGGCCAGAATCCATGGTTATTACCCACAAACATCAGGAACTTGTTTGCCAGTCTGCTTGGCTCCTAGTGCACCCAGGCAGGATAAAGCAGCAGCTGTCTTGTCCGCTTCCCATGAGATCATGAAAGGTGGCTGGCGTGGGGAGCAGCAGCAGTAAACACTCAAGCAAGAGACTTGGGGGACACTGCTACTCTCCTTGTCTATTCTCAACCCAGCTGTGCAGGCAGGGTGAGGAAGGAAGGTGAGAGAAGGACACAAAGACTCTTTCCTAGAGTCCAAAGGTTCTCAGATATCACTGAAAGGCCCGCCACTTAAACCTTTGCTGGACTTGAGATCCGGGATCTTGACAGAGTCAAGATCTAGCTGACATCTGACAAAACTGCCTGGGAGACAACCAGAGTTTGAAAGTGATAATAAAGTTACGCAGTCTTTCAAGAGATGCTGCAGAGGCGCTCCTGATTCTGAAGCCAAATCTGGGCTCTTTCAGAGCATTTATTATTGCAACAGTGTTGATGTGCAACACAGTCAGGAATCCATGAGTTAGGGGACCCCCTCCCCCCAAAAAAGGGGGGGGCGTTAAGTGGGTGGAGTTCAGAAGTCTCAAAGAGCTCTGCTGGAGTTGCTTTCCTGGGCAACCGCCATGCACTTTGGGTGACTGAGAAGGTTCAAGGAAATTCAGGGGAAAGGTCATGGGCTGGTGGTGGTGACCATGTGCTGTGAAGTGGGTCCCGACTCAAAGCGACCCTGGATCGGGTTTCCGAGGTTGTTGATCTTTACGGGAACAGAAAGCCTCATCTCTCTCCCGAGGAGAAGCTGGTGGATTCGAACTACTGGCCTTGCGATTAGCAGCCAGCTTCGTAACCCACTGCGCCCCTCGGGAGTCTCTTTGAATGGCGGTCCTGTCACAAGCTACGGGGATGACACCGGGTGGCGGTGCGGACTCCGGCAAAGCCAGGCAGGAAGGAAACATCTCCCCCAACAGGGCAAGGGGAGCCAGGGGAGCGGACCGAGCCCCGCAGCGCACCCGACACACCCCTACCGGCACGGGGCTCCCCAATCGTGACCGGCGTGCGGGATGCTGCTGTCATGACGGGAAGGAGGGCTTACCCCCTTCCAATGACCCGTCCGTCCGGGAAGCCAGCCCCGGGCTTCTCCGGACGAGTCGTCCCGACAGCCGGACTTCGGCCAGGCCAGTGCCCGCGAATCGCCTGGGGGCAGGAGAGGAGGACCCGGGAGACTCACATGTTGAGGACGTTACGCTTGTTGCTGAGGTAGCTCTCGGGCAGCGGAGAGAACTCCTTGAGGAGGGAGCCCGTCAGCATGAACACCACCAGCCCCCAAGGCAGGTAGCGTCGCACCGCGGCCCGCACCAGGGTCCCCCTAAGGACCCACGCGCAGCACTCCAGACGATCCATGTCCGACCTCGTCGGCCACCGTCCGCCTCCCTGCACCCTATCGGCCACCGTCTTGCCCTTCGCCCGGGCTGGTGCCCCCGCCTCCCTTCGAACGTAGGCGTTGCCGCCAGCGGGTCCCACCTCTTGGCGACGACACCGCGCTCCTGGGCCCGCGCGCTCCCTCTTCCGGCCATTGGCAGCCACTGCAGCACGCTCGTCTCCAATCTCGTCACTTTCCTCCTCTCTTCTCCCAGCAATGACACTAGGCAGCAGGGCTCTGTGCCGTGGGTTCGAATCTCACTCTCTGCTGTTTTGCTTTCGTATAGGAGAACACGCTTATTTTAATGTTTGCTAGAGATTAAGAAGAAATGAATGCCATGCTATAGGAACTGGAGGAGTGGTTACAGTATCAGTTAATCTCCCCTTTACCTTGGCAAACATACTTCCTCTTCTTAAGCCTCAGTTTTCTCATCTGTAAAATGGGGTAGACTAGAGAAGATTCTCCCAAGAGTTATTTTATGAATGGTGATGTGATTTGTGATAGTGGTCCAGATATAGGGATATGATATTAGATTTCATTAGCTACTCAATAAAATAATTGATTTTATCTTTGTGTTGAATGAAAATGCCATTTAATATAGATCTAATGTTCTGGTGTGGCACTTGTGGGTTAATGCGCCAGACTGCAAAGCCGTTTGAACTGCAAGGTTGACGGTTCAAGCTCACCAGCTGCTCCTCTGAAACCCTATACAGGGTCGCTATGGGTCAGGATCGACTCAACAGCACTCAACAACAACAATGTTGGTAACTAAGGAGCTCTGGTAGCGTAGTGGTTACGAATTGAGCTGCTAATCTCACCATCAGCAGTTTGAAACTACCAGTTGTTCCACAGGAGAAAGATGAGGCTTTCTGCTCCCATAAAGATTTATAGCCTCGGAAACCCTGTACAGGGTCGATATGACTCCATGGCACATAACAACAACAACAATGTTGATAACTCAGTCATTTAGTTTATCACAATGCATCTCCCTCACCTATGTCAAGACTGGGTGTCTAATTCATTGCATCCTAACCATGAACCATTGCTTGCCACTTTAACTACTTTTGCTATGTTCATATACCATTGATACTATTAATATATTTTTTGAAGCAAAACACATTTAGCACTTAAATACCTAACGATTAGCTCAGAAGCAAAAATATCTTTGTAATCATGAATTGTATGTGCCACTTTCAGCACTTGTCTTGTACGGTTTGTCAGACATCATGTGATGCATACGTGTTGCTGTAATGCTGGAAGTTATACCACCAGTGTTTCCAATACCAGCAGGGTCATGTTTCAGTAGAACTTTCAGATTAAGAACAGACTAGGAAGACGGAATCCATAGTCCATTTCTGAGGGATTGATTAGCCACTGAAATCCTTACGAACAGCAGTGGAACATTGTCTGATATAGTGCCAGAAGATGAGCCTCTCAGGCTGAAAGGCATTCAAAATACAACTGGAGAAGAGCTGCTGCCTCAAAGTAGAGCTAACCTTAATGATGTGGATGGAGCAAAGCTTTCAGGACCTTCATTTTCTGGTGAGGCATGACTCAAAATGAAAAGAAACAGTTGCAAATATCCATTAATAATTGAAACGTGGAATGTATGAGGTTAGAATCTAGGAAAAATAGAAGTCATCAAAAATGAAATGGGACACATAAAGAGCATTTTATTTTGAGAAAAAGAAAAACAACAAAAAAGAACATTTCAAAGTCTAGCTAAAAATACAATGCTGTCTGTGATAGGATAATATCCGTATGCCTACAAGGAAGACCAGTTAATACCAACCAATATTATTCAAATTTATACACCAATCACTAAAGCCAGTGAAGATGAAATTGAAAAATTCTACCTTCTTCAGTCTGAAATGGACCAAGCATGCAATAAAGATGCATTGATAATTACTGATGACTGGAATGTGAAAGTTGGAAACTAAGTTGCATTAGTGACAGAAATAATACTGGAGAGCCCATGATAGGGTTTTGCAAGACCAGCAACTTCTTAATTGCAAATACCTTTTTTTCCCCCAGCAACGTAAGCAGTGACTATACACATGGATTTGCCAGATGGAACACACTGGAAGCAAATCAACTACATCTGTGGGTCGAGGTGATGGAGAGGCTTAACATCACCAGCCAAAACAAGGGCAGGGCCCGACTGTGGAACAGACCATCAGTTGCCTGTATGTAAGTTTAGGTTAAAGCTGAGAAAATTAACACAAGTTCACGAAACCCAAAATATAACCTTGAGAATATCCCATCTGAGTTTAGAGACCATCTCAAGAACAGATTTGACCTGCTGAACACTAAAGACTGAAGAACAGAGGAGTTGTGGGATGACATCAAGAACATCCCACAAATACCTGGAATTAAAGATCATTAAAAAGAAAGGAAAGACCAGTGTGGATATCAGGAGAAACTCTGAAACTTGGTCTTGAACATAAAGTAACAAACAGAAAAAATGATGAAACATAAGAACTGATCAGAACATTTCAAAGGGCAGCTCGAGAAGACAAAGTAAAGTATCCTAGTGAGATGCAAAGAACATTTCTCAAGCTGAAAAAGTTGAAGAAAAAAATTCAAGTCTTGAATTAAAACACTGAAGAATTCCATGGGAAAAAATACTGAACAATGAAGGAAGCATCAAAAGAAGATGGAAGGAATACACAGAATCACTGTACTCAAAAGAATCGGTCAACATTTAGGAGACAGTATATGGTCAAGAACCAAAGGCATTGATGGAAGATATTCAAGCAGTACTGAAGGCATTAGCAAACAAACCAAGCTTCTGGGATTGACAGAATACCAAGTGTAATGCTTCAACAAATTAATGCAGTGCTGGAAGCACTCATTAATCTACACCAAGAAATGTGGAAGACCTGGCCGACCGATGTGTGCCTATTCCAAAGAAAGGTGACCTGACAGAATATGGAATGTATCAAACAATATCATTAATATCACATACTAGTAAAATTTTGCTGACAATGATTTAAAAACAGTTGCAGCAGTATATCAACAGGGAGCTGCCAGAAATTCAAGCTAGATTCAGAAGAAAATGGCATATCATTGCTTATGTCAGATGGATCTTGACTGAAAGCAGAGAATACTAGAAAGATATATTAACATGTGCTTCATGCAAAGACATTTGACTGTGTGGATCATAACAAACTATGGCTAACATTACAAAGAATGGGTATTCCAGAACAGTGAATTGTGCTCATGAGGAACCTGTACACAGACCAAGAGGCAGTTGTTCAAACAGAACAAAGGGATACTGAATGGTTTTAAATCAGAAAAGGTATGTGCCAGGGTTGTATCTTTTCACCAGTTATTCAATGGTGGTGTGGCACTGTAGATTAAGTATTGGACTGCTAATCACAAGGTTGGTTGGTCAAACCCACCAGCCATTCCTCAAAAACCCTAGGCAGGGTTGCTATGAGTCAGAACCAACTCCATGGCACTTAACAACATCAACGACATTTAATCTGTATGCTGAGCAAACAATCTGAGACACTGGACTTGAATTGCTCATTAACAACCTGTGCTATGTAGATGACACAGCCTTGCTTGCTGAAGAGGACTTGAAGCACTTGCTGATGAAGATCAAAGATTACAGTGTGAATTACAACTCAATGTAAATAAAACAAAAATCCTCACAATAGGACCAATAAATAATATCCTGATAAACAGAGAAAAGATTGAAGTGGTCAAGGATTTATTTCATTTTACTTAGACCCACAATCAACACTCATGTAAGCAGCAGTCAAGAAATCAAACTATATAGTGCATTGGGCAAATCTATCTTTCAAAGTATTAAAGACAAATACCCAAGCCATGGTATTTATAGTCGCTTCATCATATATACGCTAAAGTTGGACAATGGCTAAGGAAGACTGAAGAAGAATAGATGTATTTGAGCGATGATGCTGGTGAAGAAAATGAACTGTCAGAAGAACAAACAGATCTGTCTTAGAGGAAGTACAGCTAGATAACGGCCCTCAGAAGCGAGCCTGGCAAGACTTTGTCTCACGTAGTTTGGACGTGTTATCAGGAGGGACCAGTCCCTGAGAAAGTAGAGGGTCAAAAAAAAAAAAGGGAGACCCCCCCAAACAAGATGGATTGACACAGTGGCAGCAACAATGGGGTCAAACATAAATTAATTGTGAGGAGGGCGTAGAACCAGACAATGTTTTTGTTCTGTTGTGTACAGGGTTGCTTTGAGTTGGAACTGACTCCACATTACCCAACAATAAACAGCAACATGTATAGTTACATTTTGTCTATTACAAATGAAAAAAAATCCTGTTGAAATATTCATTATCTCTCAACTGTCTAAAATAATCTCATGTTTCTATACCAGGGATAGTTACACAGTCTGGGAATCACTGGCTTGATTTATGCCTGTAATGAACTGATTAGAAGCATATTATCATATCATATATTATAAATATGTGTAAGTATACAAGGGGGCATCAAAACGTTCATGGAAAAATTCCATTATCTTTTCATTGCATTTGTCCACAAATTTTTTTAAAGCCCCTTTGTGTATAGTTGTAAAGACACTCATGCAGAGAATCAACAAATTAGTGAGAATAAAAGTATTAATTCCGTAAAAACATCTCAGTCACCCCCATGGTTCAATTTTCAGCCAAACAATAGATAGGTCTATAGGGGGAACAACTTCACCAGTGAGGTACACAAACCGTAGAATAGTCACCCAAGGGCAGCATTTATCCAAGGACAAAGTTCAGTAGGGTTGGGAAGGAAGGAGGAAGGGAAAGAGAAACCAAGAAGAGAAAATGGAGTAAGTGAAGTTACATAGAAGGCATAGCAATCAATGAGATGAAATGAAATGTGTACGATTTGTTCACTATGAAACTGATTCTCTACTCTGTAAATCTTCACCCAATTCACAATTTAAAAAATATATATGTTAAATTACAAAAAAAAATAAAAAATCTCAGAATGATCTTCAAATCTGTGAACTGCATTTATGTGATC